AAATATTAGTGGCAAAGACTATAAAACTGAGTTTATTCCGATGAATATCATTTTTCAAAGCGTATATCAGTAACACGAGAAGACTTTATAGGAAATTATAATCTACAGCGAGGGACAACAGAAAAAAATATGTAAAACAAAATATATATGTATATTAAAATTTCAATGAAATATTACGCTTTTACCTGAAAATTACGATCTACAGTAGATAATGAAAGGGTTTTACTGTTTTCTGCGTCTATGGTGGGAAATGTTGATTAAAATCAACCACAATAAACATATTTAATCTTTAATCTTAAACCAAATTAAATATGAAGGCAATGGAACAGGAATTTGATGGATAGAGAGCATTTCCTGTTGAATCTAAATCCACAAAGCGGAGACATCTTTAGAATCTAATCGTTGCTCAGCGAGTCACTTAATTACTTGACTTTTATGGCACCCAAAAGTTTATTAACATGCGGGAGATAATCAATGCTAACAAAACCTTTGTTTAAAAGAAAGATCAGCCCGAAAGACTTAGATACATGGAATGATAATATTAAAATGGATCATAAGGAGGGTTTGAGGGTGTGGGCTGGATTCATCTGGCTCAGGATAAGTACCGGTGGTGGACTCTTGTAAACACAACAATAAACTTTCGAGTTGTAAAAAACGGGGAATTTAATGACTATCTGAGAAATGTCAGCTTCTTAAGAAAGACTATGTTTCAGGAATTTAGTTAGAAAATCAAAAGAACAACTCAGTTGACTACATACTGAGCCAGTTGAATTCAGTATGAAATTTCATACATTATTTAAGATCTTTTTAATATTATCCTCCCACCTTCGTCTGTTTCTCAAGTATTTAACTTCTTCATTAAGTTTTCATAACATTGATAAATTTATTAATATGTTACAAAGTGTAACAGACATAAAGCTGTAACTTGTTTCAGAAAAAGACCTGAAATATAATTAATGTCATAGTTCAGGGGGTTAGTCGCCATATTGTCACAGATGAAGCGAAGGTTTGCGCCCACGGCAATCCACGTGGGATATATAGTCCGCGAAATGGTAGAAACATTATTTTCTCTGAGACGTTAACAATTTTGTCAGGGCATTATTGAACTTAAGATCAATTTTTGGTAAGGAAGCTGACTACTACAGATCCATACCAATAGATTTATCTAGCGTAAAATTTCCCGCGGCGTCCTGTTATCGAGACAGATATACCGATTTAGTTGCTGTAAGGACTGGACCGATAATCTCATCTAGACGTTCGACAACTCAGCAGAAGATTTTACTATTTTTTATTCAACTTTACATGCTGTAGTTTTCAGAAAATACAGAAAAGAGCAAATAAATTACCAACAACGAACAGTACTATTATATTACCTCTAATTCGAACGTTTCTTATACAGGACCTTCCTTGAAAGTAATTTATTTAGAAAATATATCCTCAAAGTTAGGCTACGTCACAGTTTCATACTTCTGAATTCCCATACAGTAAACATCGCTATACAATTTAAAATACAATTTAAAAAAAAAGTAAACAATTTTTCAAAAAATGACGTCCATAACAGTGGCCCAACGTTCAAGTCTACAGAAGTGGTCAACTTTTACCAGACTACACGGCGCAACAACCCATAATCACCACCATGAAAACCTCAAATATTATTAAGTCTTTGTTAATAGTTTCTCGTTTTATGGACCAATATTCATTTGAAATGTGGTGCTATAGAAGGATGTTGAAAATTAAGTGGACTGATAAAGTACGAAATGAGCTGGTCTTAGACAGGATAGGCGAAGGAAGAAGTCTATGGAAGTGATAGGACGGTGGGACACATTCCGAGGCACCCAGGATTGGTTAATTTGGTAATGGAAGGAACAGTTGAAGGGAAAAATTGTAGAGGGGAGACAAAGATTGGAATATGTGACGCAGATTTTTGAGGATGTGGGCTGCGAAAAATATGTGGAAATGAAGAGATTGGCGCAAGATAGACGAAAATGGAGGATCACATCAAACCAGTCGGAAGACTGATGACAAACAAACAAACTTATTGTTGAAGTAAAAGTAACTAATTTCTATCCGTGTGTAGCTGCAGAAAGAAACTGTGGTAGCAGACATCCTGTTGGAACACGATTGTGCTCCGCGTCATTACAGCATGGTCACGTCTCCTTTTGATGTCACATTCACCAGCAAGTGGATTGCACAAAGTGGCCACCACTGTCACCTGACCTCGCATCCCTTGATTTTCCTCTTTTCTGGCTACGTCTATGTTACTCCTCTGCCGCAGTCCGAAAGTGAACTGAGAGATGGAATTGGTGATGTGGTAATGATTGTGGACGAAGAAATGCTACGTTTGGGACGAGTTAAATTCAGATGTTACGTGTGACTTATCATCTGTAGAAATCATATCCAGCGCATATGAACAGAAACATGGATGCTGTGTCAACGTAATGGACAAATTTGCAATTTGTTTTATAGTATATTGCCTAGATAAAAAGTTGTGTGCCTTTTAAACTGTAATTTAATTTGTGGTCAACGTTTCAGAACAGTCGCAGATAGTAGACAAGGGATGGTCCTCCAGATTGGGGGCTAACAACTCCTCATAATTTCAAACCAAAACGTAGTAAATGTAAATAGAACAGAAAATTACATAGTGAAGAATCATTATTTGTATTTCTTACAAAATGTTACTGTGATTATTGTACTAAATAGAATGTGATGGACAGACATGTAGCAGGTATTGGAGTGAGAATAAATTTTAGCCGAAAAACCTAAGGGGAAGAAACCAGTTGAGAAATTTAACGTACATTGGAGGAAAATATTAAAACACCTATTAAAGAAGAAATATATGAGAATGTGTACTATAAGGTTCATTCGGTACAGGATGCCTATTAGTGGTGGGTTCTAGCCAACACGGAATTTGATTTTTGGATGTTTTAAAAGCTTGTGAATTCATAGGCTACCTGTGTGACTTACTTAAGATCTGTTTTCCGTGTTTGGTGAAATTTATAGAAATGTGTGTTATCTCTATTGTAGTTTAATGGTTCGTAATGTACAATTTTTAGCTCTAAATAAAAAGTTCACTAAATACCATGTTAGAATACCGGGGGGGGGGGACTCAAGAAGTATGACTTCAAAATGACTACTAATGCTACTGCTTTCATAAAAACACAAGTAATTTAATTTAAATGTATAAGAAAACACAAAATATATAAACGTTATCTCTCCTAAGCGTGTATAACAGACTTTTGATGGTCTGTTGCATATAACGCACAGGCAGACGTGACGAACAAGTCAAACAAAAATATAAAATTAGATTAAATTTAGTTGAACCACTTCCTAGTTAGAATATGACGACATAAATCTACAATCATATGAATTATCTTTGAAACTTTAAAAATTACGGAAAATGTACACCGGATATAAAATGTTAACTTATTTTTTATACAGCTTATGTTCGAAACAAATTTTATTTCGAAAAGTATTTATCGAGTTACTATCGATGCGTGCAGAAGCGTGTGTAGTGTATTCGTTATTACTTCTAATTTTAGCCAAAATATCGGTAAAATTTAGTAAAACTCTTCACAAATAAAATTTAATTAAAGTCTTTTCAGTGGATTTTGAGATGTTTTCAGAGACGAACGGTCAGAAAGATATTAAAAAGCGAATACGCTTATTTTATAATACTTCGTTGCAAATTGTCCAAAAAATACCTTTAACTGCATATAGTGCTAATAGTCAGTGGAATAATTTTGTAACAAATTTTTGTATTCACATTAACACAAGTTTCAAAAATCGGCAGTTTAGTGACGTATCATTTCTGGGAATCTATTGTAATATGTATACGAAGTGCCCTACTTTGTTTTTTGTGCGATTAATACACAGCCATATTTAATGCTATGCTACACAGTTTCTATGGAAACCACATCATAACTTCCTTGTTTATATCTCCCGAGTTTTAAATACTAATTAAACTACTCTGAGCAGTTTCATTGCATTTTTTGTTCATTTTATGGCTTTGTGGTTGAAAAGCAATACATGTTCTTTAAATTGACTTCAGTTTCAATAACATTCTTTTGTGAATTACAGATTTTTATAAACCGAAAGTGGTGATCGAGTGGTTATGAATTTGTTTTTTTTCTCGAGAAATGTATTTGTTAGTTTTAAATCTCGGATCAGAGATCATCTACACTATCAGAGATATTTCGTGACTTTCCTCCAGGTATATGTCGGAATAGTATTTTAAATAGAAAAGAATAGATTAAACAAATAACATAAATTAAAAACGGAAATCAAACGCTATGAACTGATATGAGAACTCTAACTAACTAACTGACTTGATGGCTTACGAAGCACAAAGGTTGATCACCGAATTAACCAAAGCTCTCCACCGGTCCCAGTCCTGGGCCATTAAAATCCAGTTTCCTTCAACTCCTATCTCCCATAGGTCCCGCCTGAGATTATCCTCCCATCTACGTCTAGGTCTCCCCAGCGGTTTTTTTTTCCCTAAGGCTTCCCGACCATTACCTGGTGCACACCTCTCATTATTTGCTCCTGTTTACTTACTTAACCTCTTTTCCAAATAATATTTGTTTAAAAATTTATTTTTCAGTGTTTAAAAATGCATCATTCTTCCATCAGAACAAAATACCATATTTCAGAGCTGTACAATTAAATTCAGTTTACCAGCATGAGAAGGTAATGTTTTTTAAACTAATCAAGAAATTTTCTTCCATTATGGAACTTAAAGGTTCATTACCTTATTAACAAGAGTCCGATATCGGCACTTATCTTAAGCCAGATGCATGAAATTTACAGATTACCATTATTTCCTCAAGATCTACTTTAATATTATCCTGACAAAACCTTAGATTTTATAAGTGACCATTTCCCCTAATATTTCCCGATAAAGCATTTTATTCATCGTTCCATGCGTGCTACATACATAGTGCATAATCACACGTACTAATTTTGTACTTTGAAGTAATTATATAAAATAAATAAGGCCACAAAATAAATTCCTCGAAATCCTACTGATAGCTTTTTAAATCTGTTGTCCAGTTGATAAAATATTTGTACTTTAATCCTAAATCATCGCATAGCTGTGAAATAAGTAGCAAGGTTTGAGCAGAAAGACGTCACAGAATCGTGAAATAAAGCTAGTGGATTAGCAGAGTAAACACTACTACAGTGTCTGTACATTGCTGGTTGGAAATGGATTAATTGTGGATGAGGGCAGGACGAGTTGGCTTGTGGATGTACTAGCAACGTGTCATCGAGTTCGGTAGGGGTACGGGGAAAGGGGGACAAGATGCCGCAAGGGTTGCAGTTCATTAGACAGAGCCTCAAGCATCACGTGACCAGACTAACCAATCAAAGGAATCGCTTTGGAACTTCATAGTAGTAGCGTCATTTTGATGAAGAAGACGCTCGGAGACGGAACTAAACCTTGTCTTCGTGTTAAAAGAATTACGGTGACAAAGACAAGCTCTTTATCATAACCGAGAGTTCTGATAATAGTGTTTGTCTTCTCAGAGCAATATTAGCATAAGTCTAGCCAGACACGTAGTCTAATTAGGGAGAGGTTATGGCGGCTACCTGGCAATATTGACTGAAGTGATTTGGTTGTTGGGTGTTCAAGGGAAGAATAACTTGTGGACAAGTTTCTGTCTGTATTTCGTGTCTTTAATAACACTGTTATAAAAACGAACGTTGGCCATGTTGTTGCTACAATGTTATTGATATAATTGATTATTTTGCTGCCATTGCTATATCCCACGCCACGAGGCGCAAATATATTTGATATGTACTCCAAAACAATGCACATTTCTAATCTTGTTACGATAGGGATAAACTTGTTCCACTACAAAATACAATTTTTTCAGAAGCCGAATGGCTAGTTAATCAGGGAAGACTCCTACCAGGGCCTCATCTACAGCAGACGTCACCAAATTCCATATTTCAAGGTCACGGAAGTACTTCATAACCCCCCTTTCCCCGCGGCTCTAAGTCAACAGCACAGCATAGCCAGATTTGTTACGTCATAAGTTCTGAACTACCTTCACTCGCCTGGTCTCAGCTGTTCGTGTTGCAACGTTGTATGATTTTACTGTGACCTTTAAACAGGCAATTTGGTGACGACTACTATAGTTCATACGTCATTCGCAAAGCGTAAAATGGATGAAATTACGGACGGGAAGAAACGTGTCAATTGGAAAGCCCAGTTCACAACGCACCGACATCCGCTTTACCATTCATATTAGTATAAATATAATCTTATTTTATAAATTTACATGTTTTTATACGGGTGTAAGACTTAGTCCATCATCGTAAGGGTAAAAATAGATTGAGGGTGTTGGAGATATAGGAGTTTAAATTTACACAGGGGAGTGCGTTTAGACTTACATTCTGGATTTTTGCGCTGTCAAATTTTCTGTTTGTCGTCCTGCACCTTTTCAGAGGAACATGACAGAGGCCGTATGTTCTTACGAGAAATTGGTATAGAAGTAGGAGACTCTAAGATGAACCAAACCAGAGACAGTATAAACATGTTTGTGTTTAACTCATACAGGTCTATTTACATACATAACACATACACGTATAGTGTGCCTATTTTATTTCCAGATCGTAAATTTGTTGCGTAGATATTTATTATCATAATTACTTCTACGGATCTTTGGAATATAATTTTTTCTTCTAGTGGACGGCTTTAACTCTTTAAAGAACACTGACAACTGTATAGAGTACCATATGCATTAACGATCTATATTAATCAGTTCATTCTAAATGACGCACTCAACTAACCAAGGAAAAACAAATATTGATCACTGTTACTTCCTCTGACCGGTGGTCAGTGACAAACTAGGTTAAAAGTTTTGTATGAATATCAATATTATTATTTAGAACGCGTTTCTAGATACTGCGACGTCAGTCTAATGAGAGAGCTTGGCTGACAACTAATTAGCTCTCGGAGTTGAGATCAGACTTGAAATAAGGCAGCCGTCAACCCATCCCCACCTGCCACTCTGTCACAACAACCACAGATACCACCACACAGAACTGCTCTGCTCTCAAGAAACTAAAAATATCCTCGCTTGGTTTGGTCTATTTCGTAAAATATGACGTAAAAGCTCCAAAACAAAAAGGTATCCATCATGATGTCACAATTGGGATAAATAATAAAACCGATAAGCTAAGAATCTAATAAAACAAGAATAAAATATATAATATATATTTTATTCTACATTTATTTAAAGACGCCGACAATAAACCAGAAGCGACGAATGATAAAATAATTAATTAATTGGAAACAGAATAGCATAAAGTGTTTATGGTCTATTTTAAATATTGTAGCGGCGTCTACAGGATGGATTGAGGAAAACCACAATATCATCAGGATAGCCGGTCTTCTGACCAATATCTGAACCCGGGGTCTCTCGAAAATATATTTCTTCTTATTCGGTCATAAAATTCCGAACTAAAAAAAAAGGAAAAGGAAGAAGACGGAAATAGTTAAGATAGATCATGGAAGAAGGAATAAATATAGACATTTAAGATAAAGCACAGCAAAGGAAAAATTAAATGATATTTGATGTCCTCGCGGTGACGAATTTAAAGATATGGCCTTTGGGAGAATGCACCGTGTGTTATAACAGAAGTTTACCGACGTTTCAGAGGTACTTACATCATGAGGACGATCATCGTCCTCATGATGGAGGAAGTAAGTATCTCTGAAACGCCGGCAAACTTCTACCAGACTACACGGTGCAACAACCCAGAAGACAGCCATCTTCAATTTGGAAAATATACGCAAGGCTATCATAACATTATGGCACGTTCGTCATTTTTTGAAGTTTGTCATACAAAATACTAGTTGAACAATGCCCATAACTTGGTAACCATAGAAATTTAACAACAACAGCACTGTTTAGGAATATTTCTTAATTAATGCAAAACCATCTCGGATGTTATCAACAGATCTGATGGCGTCTTCAGAGGATCATTGGTAATGACGTCATCACTAACCCCCCCCTCTCTGAAGTTCCTGTATCCATCATGATGGTATTTACGATTGCAACAAATTAAGAACTTCGAATGTGACGCGGGTCTCGAGTGACGTCATTGAAACATGGAGCGTGTGGGTCATGACGTCATCGCAGAACATGAATCTTCTATCTCGTAAGTTTCTGCATTTGTCAGGTTGATTTTACGCATTTTATTAAATTAAGACATACTAAGAGGATGTAGGTTCTTGATCTTATCCCGTGCAAATTATTTAATTTTGACTTAATTAATAAACTTATATATTTCTATGGGTTTTGTGGGTTTAGATGTTAGTCATCTTAAAGCTACTTAACCATTAACATTATCAGGAAAAATTCTGAAGACAATTAAAGTGTTAAAATTCTGTAACTCTTCTTTGAAATTCATATTTTGAAGAAATATAATTCAATGCAGATAGTATCTAACCCTACTTAAAAGATAACAATAGAATTTTCCCACATTATCTTCAGCGGGTAGAATAACATGTAGACGTTTTCACTCGCCCGACCCTAAATAAAGAAACCTAGAAAATTTTGCGACAAATAAATTTAATAGAGTGCGGAATTTACATAATGCTGGAATTGGGCCAAGTGCCCTTTCTTATTAAGTACACAGGTCCGTTAAACTGTGTGTTGGAATACAGGGGTAGACTCTCATCTGACGACGAGATGTACGTCATAGTGAGCTGCCAACCTTACCGAATAAAATCCCTAGATTTTCAACGACTTCTCATATATGGCGGCTTCTAATTTCCTTTGTTTCTATGTTTGTAACAATTTCAAGCTATTTTGTATTTTTTCATACACTATAGCTTTTACCCAAGCAATTAATTAAACTTTAATTATCTGCTCCAAGAATAATCACAACAAAAATATTAGAACAAGACTTCAGTAATAAAGTTAAAATATTTGTGTTAAATATTTAAGTCCACGAATAATGATGCTAATACAACAAACAAGTACTGCATTATGTTATGATATAAATTGTTATTCTTAGTTAAAATTATAATGTATACGAGTTTTAAAGTAGGAATTTATATCGTAACGGGATCTGCATTATATGCCAGCAATGTTGAAGTTGATATAATTGCTAGTAAACTCTACTGACCGTACAAACCCTGTTGTATACCCCTGACTTGGCGGCATGGTATCTGGCATTGCATAAAGCAGTAAGCATTGAGAGCAGCCAACATCCTGATCCCTTGGATTTAGAACTGCTGACGTCACAAGCTCTGCGGAACCAATAGTTAACGTTGTAGTGGTAAAGATTAGCTTCTGGAAGTTTTGAGGGAAAGACAGAAGGCAAGAACAGAAGTTGAATTGCCTGCACATTAAATACAGAGACATTAAGAACATCGCAAACAAAATAGAATTAAGTTTTAGGGAAATAAAATTAATTTCGTCATATCACACACACGTGTATGAACTAGTGTTTTCATAAGATGTCGATGGAACACCAAACCAAGTTAAAGACATTGATAACGAAATAAAATAGAAAAAAACAACCATTACATCAATGACTTTGTAGGATGTTAGAAAATATTTATAGATTATTTCACTAGTGTTGAATAAATGTTTCATAACCCAGTGATGCTGGGCTTTGAAGGACGGACGCCATCCATAAACACAGAAAGCAAGCCACTTAAATGCCAAATATATAAATAAAAACCTTGCCGTTAGATGCTGACTGTTTATACTAAAAGATAAATAATCTGTAATAAGACGTACAGCGTATGCCGCTTAACACGGTGAATAATATAAGTGTGGGGGAAGGAGGTATAATACGTTCTGTGCATTCTCTGCCGTCAGAAATGACATTTCTCCTTCGTACGCAACTAGGAGTAATGCACGTCTTATAACTGAGTTAACACAACTCCACAGAAAACTTTAGAACGGTGAATGCATGATTTGCCGTGCCGTTGAATATACCAGGCCGTGACGAACCGAGCCAAAATACTGATATGGAGTGTAGACGCTACGTAAACGTCTTCAGGGCGAAGGTAGTTCCCTGCAGGTACATACCCACATACCGATGGAAAATTCTCCATTTTAATTCGTCGAAAGATAGCCAGTGAAAGATTATATAATTGCTTTATTATAATTCACAAGGTCTTACTGTTGAGTCATGATAATTTAGAGTAATTAACAATCTAAATTTAAATTTGGGAAGAGATGAAGATGCTATTTAGAGGATTATACTGAAATGAAAAGCTGAGAAGAGGGGGTTGATGCGTATATATTTGTTATATGAAACAGACAAATGTCTCCAAAACTAACTTACGTTGTGTTTCTGTACGTCTGGCTTCGGAGGTTTTAGTCTCACTTGAATAACAGCAAAGCAGCGCGCGGTGCTAGGCAGGGAGTGGGGGCGTCTATTCAGCCTTTGACGTAAAGTTCCCTAAGGCAGTGAATCTTCTTCAACGCAACTGCACACTGCTCACATACAAACTCATCTCTGATTGTCTTCAAGAATTACATATGAAGATTCCTTTCTACATTTCAATTCATCTGTTGATGATTCTATTTCTTCACAACGAGATTAGCAAGAGAACTCGTAGCTTGTTTCCATTCAAGCTAATTTTCATTTCCAAACTTTGCATCGACGAATTCATATATTTGTCTTGTTATGGTCTGCACGAAGTGTTATGATAATCATCCTTCACATAATTACGCTAGTCTTAATTTACATTAATTTTCACCGTTAAATTAATACATTTATGATTATGATTCTTACATCATCACCAGTGCCATCTACAATGCAGATTATATTTTTAATATTAACTAATATTAACCTCAATTAATTTTTATACAATTCATTATTATGCTTTATTTCCACGATATTCATGAAACAAATGCACATAGGGCTGATCATCGCTGACTGTCCGTCCGCATGTTTCAACTTTAGAATCACTGGAATGATTTGGAAAAAAAATTGGTAAGGATATTATGCCATAAAATTGTACTTTTTAATTTCCTACAACTGATTATACCAACATGGCGGACGAAAAATACTTTTAACACGCAGGAAACCTCGGTATTATAATTCTTTGTACAACGTAAAAATAACAACATGGCTGCTTCACCAGTAGTAGTTTTCATGATTCCCTGCGTACGACTCCATTACACTACCACAGATTTAACACGCCCTGAGACATATAGGCATTGATTTAAGATATTTAAAGAATACATTAACATCGCATGAGTAAGAAACTTAGTCTAAGCATATAACTGAAGAATTTCCAGTCATGTTCATTAATTACATTGTCATTGTATACTAGCGTCTTTAGATAAAACATAAATAAATACATTAGTGTTGATCTGTTCTGACAACGCTGATGTGGTTTAAACTATGAAAATTGTACTGCTCCACGTTGCTTCGTTACAACAGTCCATTGTTTTATTTTCTAAGCACTAACATGATGACGGAGTGACACTCACATGGCCTTCTAACCTCGGACACGAAACAAAATTGTATTAAATTTTAGTTCTTAGAGCGTACTGAAAGGGGGGGGGGGCTATTTTTCCTTTCCTACAATTGAAACCAAAGGAACACTGAAAAATGGATGTTCCCTGAATCACAGATTAGCTGGGTAACAAGACTTCTGCTCACAGTTCACTCAGGAATGAGATGAAAGCCTGACATCTAGTAAGAGCCTTGTCCCTTCGGGGAACCTCAACAATTATGATGCTTAACATCAAATTCTATAGTGATCTATGGTGCTTCAGGGCTTCACCCACTGAAGATGACAATTGATAAATTAATATCAAATCTCAGTTACTATTTTCATGGATGTACTGCCTCAAAAATCGGAAGAAATAATCCATATAAAGTAAGTTTATTTTGAAATAACTATAAACACATTACGAAATTAAAACTGAGTAATTAAATAAATTGTTGCAGTAAAAAGAAATAAATAACTACGAAGGAATTTGGACATTTATACTCTTCTCCTATAATATACGAGGGTTATATACGAATTGTAAATCAGGAAAAAATACACGGCTAAAAAAGTCTAATATTGAAGCGATTTCTAATGGAGGCTACTGCAATAAACCGGTTTAATGCGGCTGGTAAAGAAGCAGTACAGATCCAGTTTTGTTTAATTCTATAGAAATCTTGTACATTTGTTTTAATTAAATGTACACGCCAATCTCTGACTAACTTTTTAGTACAGAATCTTTGCCTAACATTGTCCAGTTTATTCATGTACCAAATAGACTCAAGGTTCGTTGTCATGAGCATGGAGGTCTGCCAACATGTTAGCCGTGATATCCTGGCTAACACTTGGAAAATAAAAATCTTCTATCCTACTTTCGTGATTTATTAATACTACATTCCATGCTGACCACTCACCCCCATCTAGTGCCGGGGTCAAGGAAGAGAGGAGCTATACCTCCACTCACCCCAAACGCCTACATGGCGTATAGTGGGACAAACTTTACTTTACTTACATTCCCTGGAATACAGGAGTACTGATTAGGTAAAAGTCTCAACTAGGTATCTATTCATGTACGCTAATGTAATAATCCATACATTTTATTTTCATTTTTTCTTACACATTTAATCAATTACAGCCTGCTTTATTTGTTATTTTAAAAAATAATATATACAAAATGTGAATCATAAAGCCTTATAAAAACACATTTCATTTAGTTTCAAATAATATTGTCAAAATTTGGTTTTCAATTACTCCAAAAAAATGTATTGTCTTATAATGATAAAAAAGGTTCCCTGGACATACGTAAAACTTACAATAAGTACTCTTGTCAGCGCTACTTAGTGGTGACTGTAGTTGAATATGACGACAAAAATTAACGCCCGTGTAAGGTCGAGATACGCTTACGGTAAGCGTATACTTGTGAATACACCATAAATAATTTACTTTGTTAGCGAGGACACAGCGTAAGGTTGTCACTTGAAATTCTGTTCGCCAACAACACGAGGCACGTATATATGTATTCGCCTTGTTTCGTTCATAGTTTGCATAAATCTGAGTTCTCTGCCGGCCTTCACCTGAAATTTTGTATCTCGCTTTTAGCCAAGGACCCAATTAGTGCTTGCAATGACAAACAGTGACTAAACACGTACAATATAAATTATTTTACTGTGTCACAAACGAGTTTCGCTTTCGTTAC